AACAACCTCCCCAGCTCTTGTGCCCAGATACTTTACCAGACCCTCCCATCCAAAGAGCCCAGCTAACCCTATAGCTCCTCCCTGCAGCCCTCCTCAGTTTCCTAGCTCTTGCTGATTCGCCTTTGAATCAGGTGCTAATACTGGAAAATGTGTGTGTTCCAATGACTTCCCTCCAGTGAGACCACAGCTGGTGCGCTGGACTCTTCACGCAGGCCCCAGCATTTCTACGGGCAATTGGGTTGAACTGGTAAGAATCAGGAGGGGAGGTCGTGTCCACTACCCTCTGGTTGCAGTGGATGTAGGCCTAAAAGGCCCTTGCAACTGCCTAGTGAGGGGAACTAATCTCAATTTTCCTTTTTGGCTTCTCCCTAACAGGGTGTATGTTACCAGAGCTTACAAGGTGTGTATGTGCTTGCGTGTGTGGGGTGTGTGTGTGTGTGTGTGTGTGTGTGTGTGCATTCCCAGTTCACCCTCAAAACTGTTGACCCACAAGGGTACGGCTGGGGTGCCAACAAATGGGGACAATGAACAGAGTCCAGCACTCAGCTCTGTTTCTTTCCTTCAATCGGGGCCAACATAGCCAACACAGGGAAAAAGAAAACTGAGTCAACAAATCAGTTGTCTGTGGAAAAAGACCCAATAAGACTAGAGGAAGGCTGACATTTCTGTATGGAGTGACACAATGCTCTAATCAACTCACAACAATTTTTTGGTCATACACAGTTTTTCAGATGGTGGAAAGCATACCTTCTGCTTTACAGGAGCCCCTAGATAAACACAAGTAAGTCATCTGATGAGTGGATGACAAATACATCCTGTGAGTCAAGGCTTGAATAGGGCCTTTAGGTGGTAGAGGACAACAGTGAGTACTCCCTCATATTTGATTATATATTGGTTTTTGTGTTAAGTGCTTTACATCGACTGACACATTCGATATAACTCTATAAACTAATAGGGTTATCATCCCACTTAACAGGGTAGGAAACTGAGGCAGCAAAAGATTAAAGGTCTCGTGGCCAGGCCCATGGCAGCCAGCGCAGCCTGAATGCTGCCTGGCCCCTGCAGCCTTGCTGAGGCGGCTGCTCAGCCCTGCCTAGGCCTGAACTCATTGCAGGGTTTTCGTTCCCAGCCTATAGTGGCCTTGAGGGAAGCATGTGTTAGGACAATGCCGTGAAGGTACAAAGACAAAGCAGGTGACTTGTGCTTGGACGAGCCAGAAAGAGCACCCGTCCTGTGGAGATTCCTCCAGACACCGTTGGCGTTCCTGCTCGGCATTCTCCCTTCCCTTCCCTCATCTCCTCTTTCCCTCCCTCTGTTCCCCACTCTTGTTTATTTCTTTTCTATTCTTCTCCCTCGTCCCTCCCTTCCTTTTCCGTCTCACAACCTAAACCCCACGGTCTCTATTGCACACTGCTCACTGCTCCCTTGACTACTCCAGGCGTTTTTCCCTGACCCCAGATTTAGCGCAGACCCTGAGGCTCCTGTGAACAGACAGCTGAGGACGTTAGGAGAAACCACCTGACCTCTGTTGTCCTAGCATCCTTAGGACACCTGGAGTCATGGAAAGGGCTGCAAGTTTTGCACTATAGGTCGGATCCTGACAGTAGCTTGTTTTAGGGGCCCCTGAGTAGTTTATGTGATCTGTGAGTGGGCAGGCGATAATGATACTTACCTGCTGGGATACTAGGTGAGCAGAGTCCCTAGGATGTAATGAATTGGGGAGGGTATTGATGTTACTGTTGATGTCAGTAGTGATGGCCGTGATATGATGCTAGCCATTCCCCATGGTGTGAAAATGACTTTAGCTCTTAGACCGTCTGCTCCCCTGCATTGGATCTGCGCATGTCACTTGATTGAACCCTATTCCCATCTGTGCTCCCCAGAGCAGGAGCCCTGCCTGTCTCTCTGCGCGGCCAGCTTGTGTGCAGCTCAGAGTGATCTTGGTTTGCATTGAGAATCTCAGATGCAAGTGTGTTTTGTTTACCTCCTGCATCTAATATGCTAATGACAGGAGGCTGTAATGAGCTGGCAGGGACCAGGGTGACAAAGAGCTAGAGCTTCATGCTTCCCCAAAGAGGCACTGTGGTGTCAATTGTTTCTTTTGTGAGAGGAATTTTCAAGACCTGGGAAGGTGGGCTGGGAGGGAAGGAGAGAGGAGAGTGGGGGTGTTTCAGAGAACGCTTAGAGGAGGGTACAGGCTTCTGGCCACCTTGATAAGGGACTCTTGGGTAGGGTGAGGAGCTCCAGACGGTGTCTGTGGGGTACAGGAGGAACAGATGTCCACATTAGGTCCTCAAGAGGCTTCTATGAGCTCCATGATGGGGACCAGCCCCATGGATATCTATCTGTCCTGCCTCTGTTACAGGGCTGAGCATGAGGCAGCAGCACAGAAAGAGGGGTAGACAATGGTCTTCAAGAGAGCGACGCACGGAGGCCTTGAGCAAGCTCCTGATGGGCGGATTGCTGCCTTCAACGAGTCAGTGGATCTTTTTGGACCTCAGTTTCCTTTTCTGTGAAATGAGTTTGGTAAAATCCTGCTTAGGAATCCAGGTCTCTGGGATCAACGAATGAATGTGGGGGCAAGAGGAAGGAACAGGAAGTGTGCACCTCTCTTACAGATGTGCATCTTACGGATGGGGAAAGGCTGTGTGTGTAGGTCAGATGTGAGCAGTCACTCCAAGACCACAAGATAACTAGGGGTCAGATCCTCTGCTGTCCTTGGAGATGAGTGGGAAGTACCAAGAGGCTGGAGAGCCCAGGGCAACCTAGATCCTGAGCAGGAGCAGCAAGTTCACGCAACCAGCGTGAGAGGTCTCCAGCTGTGTAGGCAGAAGACTGCACCAACAAACGGATGGGGACAACTTCCCTGGTTTGCCACCAAACGGAAGGCAACAGGGGAACAAAAGCATGTGTGGTCATATGGCTGCATCCAGCCAGGCCTTCTGCTCTCTTTCGGTGGATAATGGGCAGTGGCTGGAGGGACAGGTCTGAGATGCTCACGTGTTCATAGAGGTGTGGAGGGCTTTGCTCTCAAGATGACTGAGGGGATGAGAAGCATCAGGACTGGAAGAGGTTTTGCAGTACCCGGAGCCAGTGAGTTGTGCCAGTCAAAACCACCCCTAGGCCTTACTTTTTTTTTTTTTTTTTTTTTTTTTTTGTCATGCAATGGGTCTGACTCTCCCAGCTGCTCTGTCTTCTTCTCCTTGAGTCTATCTTTTCTCTTGGATCTCTAACACACTTTACTTTGTCTTGGCTGAGCAATCATACCCTCTGGCCAGGAAAGCCAGCTGGATGGCTGAGGCCAGCAAGGGTAGGGTGGAGAAGAGTCATGGCTGCTGGCTGCTCCTCCCTGGACTTTCTGCTAATGGGCAGCTGCGTGCCGTGGCCAAGGCTGACCACATGGACCCCACCTCGGGTTTCACACACTCTTGAGGTTTGGGACCGATCTCCATGGTGTCTGATGGACAGATGAAGCCAGTGAAGAGCTGAGGGTTCAGGGCTGCAGGACAGAGCATCCCATCCCTGAGGCCTGCTACTCTCAGTTCCTTCAGTAAGGGCTCAGGGGCTACTGTTTGCCCTGCTCTGGCCTGGGGAGGGAAAGAGAGGGAGAAGGTTGTAGATGCGCGTCTCAGGGAGTGACTGTGGACAAGGGACATTGAAGGAGGCCATGGCACAGCGCCCACGGTGGGCGAGCAAGTCTCAGCTACAAAGGAAGAAAGGGTGGGGGTGGGGGGTTGTCAGGGGCATTTCTCTGGAGCAGAAGTGCCACCCAAATGCTTAACGGAGAGGGAGTAGGAGTGGCTGGGACACCAGGGAGGAGGACAAGGCCAGCAGGTGAAGTGTAGAGAATGACTTTAGGAATTCAGTCTTGTGCTGACCAGCATGGGGCTTGCCCAACCTTCTTCTCTGCTCCCCTCCCTCTCTTCCTGTCCTCTCCTCTCTTACCAAGGTTCTGTTCAGAGGCAAGGAGCAAGGTACAGTAAGAAGGGAGGAGGCGCCAGGGACTGAGCAAGAAGCAGTAGAGGAGGGCAGCTCACGTTTTGTGCCGTGGTCTCTGCTGCTCAGGCTGCCTCTGCCTCCCGTGGCCAGTCCCCCGCCCCATGAACCTTCAGCCACCAAGCCGCCCATTTTTTTTGTCTGCAGGTCTATATATAGATGGAGAGGCACACTCTGGAACTGCATTTGATGTAGCCCTCTGGACTCCAGCTAACTTTTGGGGAGTAGTTTTCTTGGGAGCCTGCCAGTCCAATTCCTCCCTCGTGAACACTAATTACCGCACAGACCTTCTCCATGAAATCGGTGCTGAAGCCATTTCCATCCAGGCGGCTCTCCAAGACGAAATTTTTCTACTGGGAACCGACAGCCGCAAATAAACCTACCATCTACTTAGCAACGGAGAGCCAGAGCTGGCGGGAGGTGGGGAGAGAGGAGGCGCTGGGAGAGTGGGAGGGAAGGGGAGAGGGAGGGAGGGAAGGGAGGGCTTGCTTCTCCCTCCTGTTCTTTATTTTTCAGAAAGGATGCAATCATCTCTCGCCAGGAAGGTGGTACAGAGTGGATTATAAGACAGTGTGGTGGCTCGGGATGGGGGCTCAGGCACCCACGAGGCCATTTCCTGCTCCTGGTTGCTTGAGCGAGGTCAGTCCCTTCTCAGTTACACGGACATGGAGGCAACCCTTATTCAGTCTGGGCTTTATTCTCTCCTTCCACTTTCTAGCCTTTGCCACAGCCCTGCAGGTCTGGTCCATCCCTTGCTCCTCCTGTCTGGCCAAACGGTGGTCCCCACCTCTCTGTGTCTGGAGAGGTCACTCTCATCAACCAGGACAGGGCATGAGTCTGCCTCCCCAGGACAGCCGTCCCTGAACTATTCATTCTGACCTCAGTAGGGCTGCACTGTACACCTGCTGAGTTGACTCTGCCTTCTTTGCTTCCAAATAGAATCTGTGCATTAGCTGTCCCAAGAAGGGGGAACTAGAGGGAGGAGCTTCAAATTGCCAGGCAGGGTTGGTATGTCACCATACGCTTGTGAGTGGCTGCCATTTACCCTAGTGACAAGGAATGTTCCTAACAACTTGTAAGTAGGAAACAGCAGGGCCAGGCTTTGACTGCATGGACCAGTGTCCAGAGCTCAGTGGTTGCTAGGTGTCTGTGTGTCAGTCCCTCCCCCCCTGCTACCATCTGCCTCAAAGGTCAGCCCAGGGCTCTACTTTCAACCTTTGATGCAAAAGCACTTACAGTCAAAGAACAAACAAGATGCCATTTCCCCAGAAGGCTTAGGGCAGGTGTAGTGAGCTCTTATGACTGGTGGCCTCTTGCCGTTTCAGCAAGCCTGAGTGGCCTTGGAGACTGTGCTGGGTCATGAGCACAGTAATAGTGTCATCCAGTCAGCAGAGAGCTTCCCCCTTCTTCGGCAGAGCCTCTACAACGCCCAGCTGTGTATTCAAGGATTCCACACCAGGGTCTTAGCTCATCTCTCCCAGGATCCTTATTGTCTGTCATGGGTGCTGCCGACCCTGTAAGGGGTCTAGTGCCACCATCTTTGCTGTTGAGGCTTCATGAATGCCTTTCCTTCCCTGGCTACCAGTTTCCTTAGCCATCCAATGGGCAGAGTGACTCCTGTCTTGGCCTCACTGATGTGGGCAGGGACTGCAGGTATCAGGAAAGCATTGCAATCATGAACTCTTTTCACGGGCTAAGGCTTGAACTTAGATTTCCTCTCTAGCAAGAAGTTAGGTGGAGACACTCTCAAGAGGGCCAGCAGCGCCTAGAGAACCCTTCCTGGGACAAGGGGAGCCAGGGCCCCTGGGGGAACGTCCTACTAAAGGAAGCCTGGGTTAGAGATCCTGGAAATATATACCTAAGGACAAACTCCATTTCTCTTCTAGGCACCTGTGGCTCTGTTTACAAGGTGTGGAGTTGAATCAGTTGACTTAGGTGGCCCTTTGGTGGAACTTGCTTAGGTGTTAGTTAGAAATGGGGCACACAGTGCTTAGCTCTGTCCCCTTTGAGCTGTGTGATCAGGGCTACACTCACTCTGATTTTTGGGGCCTGAGGGCTCTTTCGTCTTGGGGTGCTGAGGGCAGGCTGGGAACATGGGCAGATACTGGACAGCACCCATCTTGGATACACGGGGTAGACCAGAGTTGGCTTTTTGTAGCATGGATAGTCCTAGTCACAATTGAAACACTTGCCTCATGCTTGGGACATGACTGAGTAGTCTGCACAACTCCCGTTTAGTTCAGAAGTTCCGTCCTCATGGGCACATCCATGAAAGTCACGTGGAGGGTGAGAAGCAGGGTGCTGCCCGGGTAGATCCCCTTGGCATCCACACATTTAGTTCCCAGAGCCTGGTTGAGATGCCACGCTGCTTCTCACTCAGGATGGGACACTTAGGGGGGTTAGAGGATGTGGCGGTGGCCAAGTGGCAAACTGTCCCCACGCGGCTATGGCCAGTTATCCCTGTCCACGATAGTTTAATCTTCATTGTTGGCGTTGCTTGATTTGGAATGGCTTAGGAAACACACGTCTGGGTGAGCCCATGAGGGTGTTTGCAGAGTTTTACCCAAGGAGGGAAGTGAGCACCGCTACCCAGGGTCTCTGGACTGAAGGGAAACGGGTAAATGAGAACGAGAAGAGAGCCGGTCGTGACCAGCTGTCTCGCTCTCCTGCCACGGCAGCTAGGGCTGACACACTGTCACCCCACGGTGAGCAACAACCTCAAATAGTGAGCCAAAACAAACCCTTCCTTCCTTACGTTGCTTTTGCCAGTAATTTTGTCACAGCAGCAGTGAGATTAACCAATAAAGTAACTTAAGTCTGAATGGCTTTGTTTGGTCAAGCTCTACAAGCCTGGTGGCCTGGGTTGACCCTCAGCACCTGGAAGTTGTCTGAGCTCCACACATACTTCCTGAATCAAATCTGAACAGTGTCTGCTGCTTCTTCCCTGCCTAAATTCCTGAGGCATTTTCTCTAGAAAGCCTCTAAGTTTCCTGCAGTAGAGTTACTCTGAAAGGATCACACCAATCACAGGGCCTTCCTAGAGGGGACCCTGGCGGCAGTACATCTGTCCTGACTAGAGTTCATGTACATAGGGACCTGAGGGCCAAGACCTCAGGGCAGTGACCGAAGAGACCAAGCTCTTCCTGCCTAAGGTAAGAGCCCTCCTCCCTGAAGCATCTTTCTCAAGGAACATCTGTGCTCCATTGGCCGGCAGGAGGCAGAACCATGAGATAAGTAGGAATTTAGTATTGGACAGACCTGGCTTCCATCCTGGGCTGTTCCAGTGTCTGGCTATGTGTTATCAGGCAAGCCCTTTAACCTCTCTCTGGGCCCTGCTTTTCCAATTGAACGCAGATATCTGTGGCATTGCTGTCCCAGGTCTACTCCCAGTGCAATGACAAGCCATGAGAGCGTCCCATTTGCTGTGCCACGGAGAAAGTATATCCTACAGATTGCACCCTTTCCCAGCCCTGTGAGTGGCAGCAAGGTAAGCATTTTCTGTGGGACAGGAGAGCAGTTACTAGTCCTCGTGGGCAGACTCTCCTTCCGGAGTTGTAGATTGGCGATCGGCGAGCAAGCTGCTCTACTCGGAGCCTGAGCTCATATTAGTGCCCCGCCCTCCTGCTTCCAGCTCTGCACCACACCCCTGTTCTTTGGGCATTCTTGATCCTTCTTTCAGACAGGCAGGCAGGCAGCAGAACAGAGAAATAAATCAAAGTTGCTTTCACGTCTTGGAGGCCGTGATGCTCCCTTGAAGTGATCCCTTGCTTCCCATTTCCCACCCCAATAACTCTTGTATATGGAGTGTGAAATAATTAACAGTGGCAAAAATAATTCTGGAAACAAGAAGAAACTAATTGTGTAGGCTTGTTTGGGGAGAACACAGCTGAAGAACAAGAACAACAAAAAAAAATCTCACTGTGTGGGGAGAGGTGGGCAGGCTCATCGGGTCCCCGCAGGCCAAGGCCGGAGATGGGGTGGCTGGCCAGAAGGTCCTCCAGGACACCTTCCTCATCTCTGCCTCTCCACGAAAGGCTGTTCATGCTACAGCCAGGACAGATGCTCCTCTCGGGTACTGAGGTGACATCCTTAAATACATTCGGCATTCTACACCCCACATTGCGCCATCCAAGAAGGCAGATGGAGAGGGAAGTCTGGTCACCTGGAGCAGACGTGTGTGTGTGTGTGTGTGTGTGTGTGTGTGTGTGTGTGTGTGTGTGTGTGTGTGTGTGGTCTTCTGGGAACTGGCTCCATCCCTGAACTTGAGCTGGAGGCAGCTGGCAGGCCTCCCACCCTCGTGGGCCCGGAAGGCTCCTCTTCCCTTTCTTGCCTGCCTTCACCACCCAGACTGCCAGCCCCAACAGACGCCCACTGAGCATCAGTCCCGTGGCTTGGGTACCATTAGGAGGTGCTGCAGTTCTCCCCGGGGAAGCGGAAGTAAGTCATCCTCAGACTCACACACTTCATGGATCTTCTAGCTCCGGGAGGCTTGCCTCCTCCTTCTGCTCTCTCTACTCCCCTCTCGTCCTCCACCACGTTTGCTCTGCTCTTCCCAGCTAGCGAGAAGGTGCAGAAGAGGCCCCTGTTCCCAGGCAGCAGGACAAAATGGATAGCTGGCCCAGGGTTGTGGCTACCAGGGAGGTGGCCCGAGGCTGGCTCCCTATCCTCTGTTCATCCTTGCTTTCCTTGCTTTCCCGGCTATACAACGGGTCTCGCCTCTTCCTGGTGACCACCACAATCCACTCTGCCTTGGGTGAGACCTGACTCTCGTGACTGAGCGCTGGGCACAGGATAGTGAGAAGGTATCTGTGGCCTGCCTGCCTTGGACACACTTTTCCCTCTCTGTGCCCTCCCTTTACGCATGGAACATTTGTGCTTGTACAACAGGCTTCTAAGGTTGCTTTTGGGGGAGAAACATCTGCCTGCTGTTTACTTGGTTATCTTGTCTGGCCTATTACAATTGCCTCTGAATTTTCCCCTCCACTTCCAGCATCTCGGTCTCAGGCCGTCACTGCCACTGTCTTGAGACCAAGCTCTGAACTGTCCTGCCCTTGTTTTCAAAGCTTCTGTGAGTTCACATTTTCCCGAAAGTCAGCACACGCTTCTCAGGGGCTTCTTACGCAACATCCATCTCCACCATCCTCCACACTCAGACCTCAGTGTCGAAGGGTTATTTTGAATTGTGTCCCCCTTGGGGACAAGACAACTATTCCAGAGTCTACTTGGGGCTGTAACTGATGATCCACCCCCTTCTCGGGCCAGTCGCATTGGGAATCAACATGGCTCCCGTATGGCTCTGAGTCTCTGTGGCTTAGCTTGCTCTCAAGCATGTTGCTGGCTACATATGGGGTTGGGGCACTTGGCGTTGTCTACACATATCCAACCTGTTGGGTCCGGCCACCCTGAGGGAATGAGAAACCTGAGGGCGTTACATCCCTTCCTGCTCACTCTATACCACACCTGTCTTAAAAGTGGATTCCTCTGCTTCTCCCTGTCCACACCCCTGTAATTGCCTGGCATTTACCTTCACCCCCAGAGTCTGTCTTTCCTACATCTCTGGGGACATGACTCCTCCTTTCCAGCCTTTGCAGGTTGTTGCCCTTTACTCTCTGATCTGACTAGAGTCTGGGGCTGTGATTCTGAGGCAGAATAACCAGGTGAGGTTTGATCTGGGGGTCTTTGAAGGCCAGCCTCAGGCAGGGGAAGTCAGGAGAGCCAGAGAAGGTTCTGGCAAACACCAGGAGGAGGAAGAGTTACGTCTGCACCATCAGTCCGGAGTCAGCGCCTTGGGTAAGCAGGGGCGGAGGGCAGGTGGGATGGGGGAATGGGGCCTAGAGTGGGAGGGTGACTCCCTGGAGATTGGCTCCCATGGGCCATTTGCTCTGCTGATTGCCTGACAGCACTCCAGGGCAGGTGCCCAGGTCTTGGGCTGTGATCTCATCACACACTGGGCAGCTGAGGTCCTCTGTGGGGCAGGGGTGGAATAATATGCTTGGGAGGTGAGTGTGGAGCACACTCCTGCCTCCTGTTGGGCTGACGGATGGCTCCAGGTAGTCACTGACAGTGCTCGTCTGTTCTGCTGGCTGACAAATGCCACAGGTGCAGCTACAGGGGACAGAGCCAGCTGCTCCGATCATATCTCTGAATATGCGACTCAAGATCATGCTGTGAGTTCCAGCCGTCTAGTGGATGGAGGATTGAGAGCCCCTTTGCTGCCATCAGTTGGTGTCCTGAGCTAACCGCGTCTCCCTGGTTGGGAAACAGGATGGGAGCTACCAGGGTCTTATTCCTCTGAGCCGGGCCAGTTTAACACATGTGCCAGCAATCCCGAGACTGTGCTGGTGGGCAAAAGAAATCACCTCTGTCTGCAGCTCATCTGTCTTGAGGTCCCCTTCTTCTGGCCAGCTCATTTCTCTGCCTCCTGGGATTTCTGTTTCTGCTCTGTTGTATCCTTCGGCCTGGAAATCCCATCCTGACTGCTCTGGCATAACACCAGCCTCCTTCCCATAGCTGGTTCAGCTATCAAAACGGACTTAGGTTTACTTTTCCCAAGTTCATTCATGCCAACATTAATACAACGAAAGGATGTTACCAGTTTTATATCTACCGCCACCAATTAAGTTTTGATTAGCACCTGCTAATCTATACTCGTCTAGAGTAAATCTAGAAGCTGCCATTTACACATGGGTGAAATGAACAGTTACAGTATTGAGAGTTTTAATTCTGCAAAAAGCACCATAAAGTGCAGACTTCTTTGTGGCAGGTGTCTGGACATGTTGGAGAACCATGTGTGTTGGAGAAAAATCCAGGAATTGACTTCTGAGTTTCTGACATCTATCTGTTGGTTGATTCAAGACACATTCTGTCTTGGCCTAATCTTTGCCATTTGTATAAATGAAATAAAGTTTATTGGACATGTGGCTCCTAGGATTAGTGGGAGTGTACCTGCCAAACAGCAGTCAGTAAGTATGGAGTCATATCCTGAGTCAGTGGGAGACCTTGAAATATAAATGTTAGCCTAGTAACTTACAAACAGTAAGAAGATATCTACTGTATCAACAAACCATTTTACTCTAGGTATATCCTAAAGAACTAAACGTATATTTCTAGATGAATTTTTGTCTATGAATATTCATGGAAATGCTATTAGCAGCAGTCCCTGAATGGAAACAACCTACATTTTTCTCAGCTGGTAAACAGATAAACAAGATATGATACCCATACAATGGAATATTATCCACAATAGAAAGATAATTCTAGCGTATGTTATAACAGAGATGAACACAGAAACATTATGTTCAGTAAAGAAGCCACCCACAAAAGTTCTCATAGTGTATGAACCCACCTTTATGAAACAACAAGAATAGGTAATTCCTTAGAGACAAAAAGGAATCTTGTGGTTGCTAGGGACAGAGGTTAATTCCTCTGAGTTGTAGCACTGACGTTTAAAGGCAGCACCTATAAGAAAGCGAAGGAAACTCACAAGACCGGGGAGCTCAGAAAGTTACTAGACTCACAAGGTCGGTGATGAGATTGTATGAACAATTTGCTGAGGAGAGGAGAGTCCCCAGTGGAGCTGCCTGTAAACAGTGCCGGGCGCTCTGGGATGTGGCTCCCACGGGTTTTTGATGATGATGCAGCTGCTTTTGAGTCACCCATGTTCATGTAAGTACCCTCAGTAAACTCATTGGCTCGCCAACCTGGACTAGGGTGGAATCTTCTCTTTGATCTGTAACAAGAGGGTGCCTTAGCAAGATGAATAGGCATTTGGTCATATCTCCTTAGGAAAAACCACGCAAAAGGAATAGTTGTTTGATGGAGTAAGGCAAAGGTCTTGGAACATGATGGAGGTGATGGTTGCCCAATAAGTCGGTATTGCATATCACTATTCTGTATGCTTTAAAATGGCTTGAGGGGTGAAGAAAACAATGGGAGAAATGAACAATTAAAATTCAGAAGCATCATTTTCCACCCCTCACATGACCTGGAATATTCCAGCCTCATTCTTTGTGCATCCCAGACATGTCATCTACTCGGCCTGAGAGACATAATTTGGGTCCAGCTGATCAGACTGCTTGCTGCAGGGACACTGCCCTCTTCCTAAGAAGCTGGTTTGGGTTCACTGCCCCAAAAGGGCTCCTTGCATTTGAGTGTCTTAGTCCTGAGCTCTCTGTTTCCTCCAGGCTTCCTAGGTGACCCCAGAAGGCCTTCCACAACCACAGGTATCTCTCTTATTAATACAGCACTGGAGGAACCACCCTGATGTCTGCTCCTCTAGAGCCTCCTGGAGCCCCCTCATGAACTGGACGCTGTGAGCCAGCTTCAGCTTGCTGAATGAGGCTTGACTTGCTGTTGGCCCTGCTAGGCCTTCCAGTGTGATCAGACAGCTACACATCACATTGCCAAAGTCCCTCCAATGTCTAGCGCATTACTGTTTTCTCCCTGGGTTTCCGCCCCATCTTTGAGCTCCTAGGCTCCACTGTGTAAGCATTCCCTTCTCCTCCAGGCATTTCTACTTGGCCACCCACACGCTGCCCAACCCCAAGCATCTGCCAAAGATGCTCAAGAATTCGTATCAATGGGGAGATTGGCCCAAGGAATGAGATGGGGTGTCATGCAGGAGATGGTGTGGGGGATTGGTCAATTTCAATTTTTCTGGTTCCTACCAGCTCCCTTGGAGAAACTGGCAGAACCCCTAGGTCTTTGTCCAAGGTAGCACTGAATCCTTCATCACACCGATCCTGGTCACTACCCTCCTGACTTGAGGGCCTCACTCTGTAAATATGTGTCTGGCGGTGAGCGATGACTCAGCAAAGGGAGCTGATGGCTTCGGTGGGCACAGTTCACTAGTCTCCTCCTTCCCTGACACCTCTCTATGTTTGGGTAGCTGTCACTCCCTCGTCTTCCTTCCCGAATGCCTGTGTCAGTGGCCTTTAAGCAAGGCTAACACTAGCCTGGGTCCATACTGTGGGTTGCTCAGGAGAGGGTGTGAGCTGTGCGCCATTTGTCACAACAGTGCCAGGGGGTGAGGTCTGGGCCTCCCCGCTTCAGTGTGTCTGTCCACCACCGTCAGCCTTAAAGGCTACTGTGGGCCACATGCTCTGCTCTCCAGACTGGGCTCTGGAAGAGTCTCTGACTTGCCCTATCTCCAGTTCTCTAAGCTCTCCGTGATGTCTTTCGATTAGCGTGCCCACATGACACCTTCTTTCTCTTGCAATTGGCCACCCAGGTGTGACTCTCCAACAGGCTGCGCACACTGGCAGGCAGGAGGCCGGAGGCGTTGTGTACTGTGCTGTGCCCACTTGGCAATGTCCCTGGGATAGGAATGAAACTGGACTCTGAGAGAGTTGCTGGGTACGCTTTCCCTTAGCTCTCTCCCTTTCCCTTCTGTTCCCTTCCCTCCCTCCCTCCCTCCTCCTCCCTCCTTCCTTACTTCCCTCCCTTTCTTCTTTCTCCCACTTCTTCCGTTTTCTTTTCTTCTTTTTTTTTTCCAGAAGAGAAACCAGCTTCAGCATCCCCACCCACTGTATAAGTACTTTGACAAATGGATTCTCTCCTGCCACACTTACCCTAAGCAGGGCATCTGTCACTTAGGAAGGCACTGTTTAAAGCCCTCCTGACCTTTCATGCAGTGTCGGGGCAGCTGAGGGTGGAGGTGCTGGAGGGGCAGTGTGGCTGACTTCAGGTCATCAGACCCAGGATTTAAAAAGCGAAAAGAAAGCACACACGCACGCGCACACACACACACACATGCACGCACGCACGCACCTCCCTACACAACTCACAGAGTAATTGCTGTCTCCTTGGCAACAGAGCAGCAGTCTAGATCCCTGCTTCACCATCCTCCTGGGCTCTGAAGGCCAGGGATGACGGGGAGCGGAGGTGGGAGGAGGTTCAACCCTTCCAAGTTACTCCCCCCTCCAAGTCTCCTTTCTTGTTTTCTATTGGTTTCTGGGTTGCAGTCATAATGTCTTGAGCAATGCCTTAGGCTGGGAGAGTCAGTGTCTCTCCGGAAAGCACGGGGTGCAGTATCAAGGAAACCCTCCAATCATGCCCCCCTCCAAAGTCTCTTCACTGGTTAAGACTCTGAAGCCATCACGATTGTTTTCTCTTTTTTGTTGGCTTTCTCTCCTGTTTTCCTCCTCTTATCCTCCCCTTCTTCCTTCTCCTCTGTGTTTTTCTTTCGAGGATTTCTTTTTCCTCCCTACCTGGTCCTCTTTCTTTGTTTCCTCCTAACTTCCCCCTTCTTTGCTTTGGTTTGGAAGTGAACCATTCCCCCACAAGCTCTTCAGTTCCCAGCTGGTGGAACTGTTTTGGAGGTTCTGAAACCTTTGGGACCTGGCCTAGATGACAGAAATGGATCACCAAGGGTTTGTAAGGAACTCTGCCATATCCCCACAGCCATGAGCTCTGTCACGCCTTCCTGCCACTGCTGAAACTGGGAGCCCAAACACACTTCTCTTTCCCTTAAGTTACATCTTTGAGGTGTACCTCAAAACTTCTCACAGCAATGAGAAAGTGACTGACATGCCCTCGTGTCCTCCTTGACCCCTCTTCCTCCCTCTTCCCCTTAAGCTCCATTCTCCCCAAGATCTCTATGTAAGGCCTTAGCCTTGGTGTTCATGGCATGCGTTGGTACTGCTTCACAAAGGTGGGACTCGCAGAGGCTGGGAGAGGGACAGTGGGACCTCCCTGGCACAGAAGACCCAGCTAAACAGGAGACAAGCATCCCTCCAGAGGTGTAGGAGAAACCTCCTCCTTCCCTAGTATTCACCGAAGACCAGACAAGTTGCATGTGATCCAGCAGTGGAGGCTTGGACGATGGCCATCCCCTCCCTGCTTCAGTATAGATCCCTTCATCCTTCAAGGACAAGCTCTGCTGTCTCCTTCAGGAAGCTATGCCATACTGAATGACCCGCGCTTTCTCTGCCACCTGCTGGGCCTCCTTGCTCAGGGTGGTCTGTGGTATGAGAGGTGGGATGGTCAAGGTGACTGGGAGTGGACAAATCGTGGGAAGCCGTGGGCAATTTTTGTCTGTGGATGGGCAGCAGGGTGGGGTTCCTGGAGTCCGAGACTCACTTGCTAGGAGAGAAGCTGGGGAGCCACTGGGTGGGCCACAGAACGGTCCTGTCTGCCAGACTTGATTTTCTGCCCCCTGCATGTCCTCCCTAAGCCAAGTCAAGCTTCTCTCTTCAGTCTTACCCACTCACTGTCTGCTGAGCTGCTGTTCCCACCATGCATCTGTTCCCCCGCTGATCCCATCTCTCCAAACACCCTCCCTAGGCCTTTCTGCTTGTCCTTCTTGGAGCTTCAGGCCAGATTCGGATGCGGCCATTCCTGGTCTTGTTACACTAGCTGAGTTCTGATGCTTTCCTTCTCTGCCCTTCTGTTCCTGATCCTTCAAGCGTGTGTGTGTGTGTGTGTGTGTGTGTGTGTGTGCTCGTGCATGCACACACGAGAGTGCCTTCTGACAGGTGTGGAATGGGTATCCTGGAGAGGCTCAGGTGAGCCCATAGGTGTTGTGGTCTCCAGCACCATCCGGGGAGTTCTTGATTGTTTTCCTGAACACAGCTGTCAAGCAACCAGGCCCAGGTGTTGCAGATAATCTGCTTTTTGCCTTCCCATCCTTCCGACTGAGGGGCCCTTGACTAACAGGTAGAGGTGGGAGCTCTTTCCCACTGTCTTTCAGGATGAGGGTGTTTTAGCAAGGATCAAAGTTTCCTGGAAGGGTAGCAATATTTTCAAGCCTAGGCCTTACGTAGCATGGCCCATCACTGACCAACATTTGTTGAGCATCTATTGCATGCATAAGCGGAGAGGTGAGGCTAATAATGAAAGAGGAGGGACTTCCCCCTCTTTGAGCACGGGTTCTATAATGGTTGATCGTCACTGAGAACTTGACAGGGTTTAGCATCTTTAGGATCATGGTGTGTCACAGAAACACACCTCTGGGCATGTCTTTGAGGGAGCTTCCAGAAAAGTTTAACGGAAGAGGGATGGCCCACCCTGAATGTCCGTGGCACCACTCCATGGGCTGAGCTTTGGCCTGATTGGGAAAGAGACAGTGCTGAGCGGCAGGGCTCCTGTCTCTCTGCTTCCCTACTGTGTGTGTGACGGGCCACCTTACACTCCTGCCATCTCTTCTGTCACTATGCCTCTTCCCACCATGATGGGTTCCACCCTCGGGTCATCAGCCAAAATAAACCCTTCCTTCCTAAAGCTGCTTCTTTCCCAGTATTTAGTCATAGCAACAAGAAAAATAACTAATGCAGTATCTGGCCCCAGGAGCTCACAGGCCCCTGAAGAGAGAGACAGTTGCTCAATAAACAAATCATGTTAGCAATCAGACAGAAGTCTCACCATCTTGGCCTTCCCTGTACTGATGACCCATTGACCTCCTAGTCCCAAACTGAAGGAACCCCTAGAGGTAAACAAACAACTTAAGGGAAGCAAAAGGAATTAGAATTTTAAAATCCTTCCAGCAGCAATTAAACCTGGGATATAAAATGGGTTAGGATATTTATTTTTTCAATATACAATACTCCCCCCCTTCCCCGCAACCTCCTCCATGAAAATCCACATATCTATTCAGCTTCAGGTTGGGGCTTTTTAAAATGGTTTTATTAAAAAATTCATTTACTTTGGGCTTTTCAGTTCAACTTTAA